ATATATATTCCAGAAGGGTAACTCCCCCTCCAAAGAGACTACTTCATCCCGGTTCTGAGAACTTTACCTTCAAACTGACTGGGTGGAACCGGGACATTTCGGCACTTTCGACTCTGCTACTCTTCATCGAGGGAAATATGAGGACCATTTTGCCTGACAGATGAGTCATGTTTTGCTCTGGGCAGCTGAGATGTTCAAATTCCTCTGCCCTACAGATTACTTCCGATGCGCGGATGGTGCTTCCTCGAAAGATGACAAAATGTTCGCAATACAACTGTCAAGCTTTGTGAACATAGCAACAGTATCCTGATCAATTACGAATAATCACACTCTCTGTAAGAACCAGTGACAACTTGGGTAAACAATCCAACTGTTCACAAGTGGTCCGGTTGTTCTAACACACATGTGACACCTGCAACAAGGGGACCCTGTTGGGAACACGCATCGAAGTCGAATACACAACTTTCTGTCGGTAATAACCGATTGTTTGGAACACGCACATAAAATGCAGCGGACAGAGTCGTGTTGATGGGCACCGAAGTCAAATACACAACTTTCTGTCGGTAATAACCGAAAAACAGCGGAAAGGCAAAAACAAACGACCAAAATTCAGTTGAAGCAGACCATTTTACACGAGAGAGATTCGGTTGGATTCACATGAGTCTTATTTTAAAACGAAATTCCTGTGCAACTGAGAGTAGTTGTCCAATTCTTTAAATCTGGGTTCATGTAGAATATAAGGATGATGGGAACTCAGGCACTGCACCCGTCTGATATAGCCGAAGAGGGGGAAAACAGATATTGGGCTGTCAAAGTGTTTTTCAGTAACCTCATGAGTAGTGTGTCACGTTCAAGCAAAAGACCAACTTAGAATACACCATTGAAATAAATGGTTCAGATGCCTGAGTTTTCTGAGCAATTTCAGCTTGATAGTACGCATATTTTATTGCTAATCTTCTAGTAAATCTCATTCTGCATCAGCGAATTGGGCGATCGGGTATTTTGAAGAAAAGTAAACATCAGGATCGTCAAATCCAAATGACGCTGGATGTTTCATCGGATATTAACAAAAGTTGTTGGCAATATTCAGATACGGCCAACCCTTTTCCATCGTAGTACAGAAATTTGCACTCGGAGGAGACACTGTAATACCCACTCTGAAGATGTTTTCTCATGGATCACGCATTGATTCTAACAAAGAACGCGTCCTCGTTATAGGTGATTACCACAAATACTCATTGTGTAACGCGGGAAGAAATATTCTTGCCGTGTGTCACTCTCGTAGATCGATGTATAAGTTGCAATACCCACATGACTTCATCGTCAACAACCCTGCGGCACGCAAGTGAGTTTTGATGGTGGGACTAATACAGCCGTTCCATGTTGAGGCGCTAAAGATATGAGACAAGCGCCCGTGTGTTAATCGCAGAAGGCACAAAACTCGTGGATAGATCTACGAAACTAGAAGTGTGCAAACAAGCCTGACTAGTGCACCTCGACGGCCCTTCACCGGCTTGCTCTGACTTGGTCGGATGGGCGGAGTTATCGGGTCTCCAATAATCTGATTTCCGCGTGGAACGGAAAATTGTAAGGATTCAGATTTTCATTTACAGACTACACTGATGCCAACAACAGGCTCGTTTGCTCACTTGACGAGCCCAAAGAAGAGCGAATTTGGCATTGGGCTTACAAAGCCTTCCAATCTTATAAGCAGATCAATATTGGGGTATTCTAATTACCAATGAAATACGCTCATTTGCAAACAAATTTGATTCTGCGAGAGACTCGTCTGAAACCCAGCTGAATCCCTAGTTTATAACGTTTTCAAGCAACTGAATGTGCTGCACCAGGTCGCCCCATGCTACAGTTCGTACGATATCCAAGATATGTCGACACATGTATAAACGTTATAAACGTTAAGGTTGCCGAAAATTCTTTGACTGAGCTGTCGAAGAATTTTCAGCAACCTTATGAGTAGTCTGTTACGTCTATTCTAACTATCTTTCCAAACGAAATATGAAGTGGCTATTCCAAAGCATGTCATGAAAAAAGACTTGTCGTCTGACGTTTGTATTGACACTATCACAATTTGTATGTTGAGGCACAGAGCAAGATACCTAGAAAGAACTGGATACGTTGTGCAGCGTGCCGCTCGTCTTTTGCATATACAAACGCAATACTGAATAATTGACTGCCTATCTGTTAGGCAAAATTCCACACCGATCCCACTATACCGCACGTCTTTGGGCGCTGCTACGGCCGAGAAGCCTGGCCCCCTCGAGGTTGGCCCAGAATTCGGGACGCTTGCCGGTCCGGCATCAAGACGAGATCTGATTGGTCAACAATCTGGACCCAACAGCCAATCATGACCCAGTATTGGCCAAATGCCGGTTGCCAATGGAGCTCCAGAACGCGTCAGAAATTCCAGAAAGTTATAACCGCTTACGCTATATATACGAAGCGCTGTACAACTGTTCTTGACTTCGTTTTTGGTATTAATAGACCTTGTGCAACTTTGGTGGTTGTTTTGACGTGAACGGTAGCTTGGGAGGCTCAGACCGAGAACTAAGCTGAGGGAAATACCGTTACTACTCTATCAGAAGAAATAATTCCCACTCATACGCAACCTAATTACTTAGTTTGCGTTTACTCATCGTGTTCTAATGAAATTGAACAGGAGACCCTAAAAAACACCTGATGTTCCAGGGTCACATGATAAAACAGATTTTTACTTCTCCGGAAATAGTTGCATTACAAACTGAAAAATGCTGTAATTAAACAATCTGTGGCGCCAGTCATTTCTTCAGATCCCTTAGGACGCGAACGAATACGCTGTGTGCGGTGCGCCATAATGACTGTTGCCACACGATCAGATAAGCCATTCTAAATCCGAAAAAAACTTACAACGAAGATATACTGCTGGGATTCCAGTAGTAATTCAAAACTCCCGAAATTGAATCGCAACGTTGGCATTGAGGGAATCCTATTGCAATCAACCACGTTTCTGGTAGCCTGCTGTCTCACACCAATTAGAGCATATAGTCGGGTTGTTAGGTCAGCTGGTAGATATGACATTGGCGTTCCTGTGTCCACAAGTGCATGAACTCCCGTAGCCAGTGTCCCACCGATTGATAGTTCAATGCTGAAAGAAGATCACGAGGTCTCCTTAAAATCACGCGGAGTATGATTTAGACATACAGGCCACCGATATGTAAGTAGGTAGGGTGGACGGATCTCTGATGTGACCACCCGTCGCTGTTGGAAACCGCATAAAATCGTAAAAACTCGCATAGGATTCTTCGAATGATGCGTAAGTAAAAAGACATTCTGATAGAAATACTAAAGCTTGCGTAATTCCGTAAGGAGTTTCCCGAGTGGGTACCTAAATCAAGTCACCTTCGATGGATCATGAAAAATCTTTCACTGCAGCCTCTAGTCGCCCAGGAATTAGACTACCAGCTTGAAAACAAAAGCAATACTAAATCTATCTTAGGAAATTGGTGCGTGATTAGCAAGCGATGTTTCTCGTCATGAAGTCGGGCCCCTGGTTAGCAAGTGGGCATTTGGTGTGTTCACACAGTTCAACGATAGAGCCGTTTCGTTCTGCACGTAAATCTGGATGTCGTCCAATCGTAACATTGTTTATCCAGCGTAGGAAGAATACGAACCTCTAATGAATGGTTACTGAAACAGACCGTGTTCAAAATATGTTTTCAGTGAACGTTTTAACCTTACAGTCCACAGTGACAGATGCTTGGCTGTGTGTGCCGAAGGCTGATGCCCTGTTCACCTTATTCAAGTGCTTCCATGCATTCACTTATTTTTGACCATACACTATGAGGTAGGCGGCTTTAGGATGTTATCTTCGATGTTATCTTGTAGCTTTTGACAGATCGGCTACGGCCAAGATGCATGGCACCGCACTTGCTATGAAAGGATGGGTTCGATTCTTGACGTTGTCACCACGGAATGTTAACTGAAATGATAAGTGCTATCGAAATGGGTGGTGACGAGTAACTCTCTTCGAAAAAATCCCAGACACAGTTTTTCCCACGGTATCAGTATGGTTATGAATATTTTGATGGAAACAGGCTCCGAGTGACTACTCATCCCACCTTCCTCAAATCTTTACCCAAAGATAGGGTCCCAGATCAAATTTACTGGTTACACATTGAGCTGGACAGTTTAGATCTCCTAGTTTTCTGGTGGTGCTCGGGTGGTACCCTATTCAAGGTATCATAGCATGCTACCTTCTAAAAGATCCTAATGATACAATGAAACGTGTTCCACACTGCTTAGGTCTTCTACGAGGAGACAATTTAAGTTAAACTATGGTATTCCTCTCTCCGGTGTTAGTTTTTTGTCGATTACAGCAGACTTCCACAGTACGTTTGTCACGTTCGAAAAAACCCTAAATGTAGCTTTTTAACAGTATATGTATGGGTATGGTCATTTTGATGAAAACATTCTGGTACATTAGCGAATATACACTCATTTACAAACTAATTTTGTTTTTCGAGAGACTCACCTGGAACCCGGCTGAATCTCTCGTTTGTGATGTTTACAGGCAAAGATATACATGTATCGCGATATCTCGAACATCGTAGCGACTGAAACATGAGGCGGCCTGGTGCAGCACATTCAGTTGCCTGAGAACATCATTTTCAGCGACCTTATGAGGAGTAAATTACAAAGGTGCTGGCACATTGTTCGATGAGCTCCAAGCGTCTACTCACCCCACCTTTCTCTAATCGTCACTCAATGATATTGCCTCAGATTGAACTTACTGGTTACGCATCAAACTGGCCAGTTTAGTTCTCCTAGTTTTCTGGTGGTGCTCGGGTGGCACCCTATTCAAGGTATCATAGCATGCTACTTTCTGAAAGATCCTAATGATACAATTAAACGTGTTCGACACTGTTTATGTCTTCTAGGAGGAGACACTTTAAGTAAAACTATGGTGTTCCTCTCTCCGATGTTACTTTTTTGTCGTTTCTGCAGACTTCTACAGTACGTTTGTCACTAGTGTTAACCAGCAGTTTATGTAACATAAATTCCGAAATCTGCAAACATAGTCTTGGATAACCGAATCAAATATATATGACCAAGGTTGCGGGAGATGACAAAAGTTGCAAAGCTGGATTATCGTCCACCCGAAGGCAAACACTCAGCTTGGCAGAGACTCAGCTCACGAAGACTCAAATTGTGCGCTCTCCATTCCTCACCCTTACTCAAATAAAATAATCCAACAGGCAGGTTAGACGTTTTAGAGATACGAAATTGAAATGACTTCCCGGGGACAGACTATGTACCTGTATACCTGTCACTATACGTATCACACTTTCGCAAATCGATTGACCGTCAGTTAATATAACTTGAGACACACAACCCTGGTATGATCTGTGCACTAAACCAAAAATTGAATGGTCACTGCAAAAAAATGCTGGCGTTCAGTAAACATCGGGCGTGGTGATGAAGAATCGCGCAATAGTGTAATCCCGAATCGCTACTCTGAAAGCACGCAAAGGACAGATTTTGTCCCAAGGTGACTCTGAATCATTGCGCAGCGGTAACAATCGTTTTGCCGCCCGACTACCAGAGGTATTTTCAAAACGTCGTGATTCTGCCCCTGCCTTCAACCTGCATTTCACTTGCTTGTGACATGCCTTGGCTGAAATATCGTAAAGTCGTATGGCGACAGATCTTAAAACATCTGTTGGGACCATGTCGTTTAGGAGGTCAACCTCTGCTTTGGAACTCAGAAACGGTTTAGGACACTTTTTACGAATTTATAGGAAAAATAGTTCGAGGTACTACCGGTCTGTTTGATGGCGGGACGTACATGATGACAGGAGTTTGCAGTGTTCAGTGAAAGCAAAACATTGCTACCTTGCGAATCACGAATAACTGTAATTTGATTGCAAACGTTTCATCACCAATTAAGGTGACATCATTAGTGCGTTATTGGGGAGCGTGGTGGCGCGCGTGGTGGTGCGCGTGGTGGTGGGTTAGTGATCATCCCAGCTAGCAGCCCGTATATAATAACACACAAATAATACTACTCAACGCACAACCAATAACCCACCGCTACGCGCACCACCACGCTCTCCAATAAATCACTGATGATGTCACCCCGGTTGGTGATGAAACGTTTGCAATCAAATTGCTCAGCTCATCGAACAAGCCACCGACCACCATCTACGCTACCTGAGCTACCGACATTTACCTCCGTAGAACACCCGTGACTAGTGTCACTCACTGCAGGACACCTAGTGGGTTGTGTCACCAACAACCACATTCTGTCCCGATAATTAAATTCTTCAGAACTGCGGATCATCCCGTGATGGAAGAAAATTCGCTGCTCCTTGAGGATGCAATTTTTAACGTTTAGAAAATCATGGGCTAAAAGAAAAAGTCATTTTTGTCGTGGTACATTCACTGGGACTAACGGAAATCCCCTCGAAACTGCGACAGTTAGATGTAGAAGGAACAATATCGCAGGATTCATTTTGGCGTCTTCTGAAGATGAGAGCGTTCAAGTTCCGAAACAAGATGTGCTGCTAGCTGGGGATGACTACTAACCCACCGCTACGCGCACCACTACGCTCCCCAGTAACGCACTGATGATGTCACCCAGGTTGGTGATGAGACGTTTGTAATCAAATTGCACAGCGCAGAGAACAAACCAACGACAACCATCTACGCTATCTGAGCTACCGCCTCTATAGAAAAGCTAAAAACTTTAAAAGAGCAGGATGGGCTGCAGATGATCAGGGTACTCTCTGTACGAGCAAGGGGTCTGTATGGGCTATGGATCCCATAATTCTGAACCCCAAATATGCCATGTAAAACTATAGGCGAGTAATGTATGCTCTGGATGATTCAACTATCATCGCAGTATAAACGGTTTTCTTTTGTTAAAATCATATACCATTTACTAATGTTTTGTTCGACTGTCACTAGCTAGCTGTCGTGTCATTCGGAGAAAGCGCGAGAGCTGAAATAATGCCAGGATGCGTAGATCCAGATAGCAGCACTCGAGATCTCGAACCACGAATCTTGATTTTGTGTCTTAATCAGTGAGCTCTGTCAAGCTCGAAATAACTTACTACTTATTGAACATTGAAAATTTATGAGAGCTCAGAAAGTATTATTTCTTGGAGGACCCGATCTCCCGATTACTCATAGGGGTCCAATTTTGAAAATATAGTTTCAAAAGGATACATCTGTTGGATGACTCAGCTACTTACAAGATGTGAGCGACAAAAAACTCGTGTGGATTAAGGAAACTGAACATGAAATATTTGTTGAACAAGACGAGGACCGCACACTGTCAGCACATTTTAGCTTACCGATTGACTAGAACAACCCAGTGGTAAGGAAACTGTTCGGTTTTTGAAACTTTCACAAAACTAACGTCACCAGGAATGTGATCCTTTGTGATTTCTCCAAAAATTACGGTGGCTTTTCGTGGGGGGTATCTGTGGTGAAGAAATTGAAATAGAGATTTGAATAACCTCGGAGTATGAGTAGATATCCGTTTTTATTTCTAAACAAGATGAACGTGACGAGACATTCACATAAAGTTTCATCAGACCAACAAATTACTGGATCATTTAAAATGTTGAATAACTTGGAAGTTTAATTCTTTCTCACATTTAGCAGTTTCGGAGTTTCTTAGGTCGCCGAATTGTACGTGGGACAAATAATCAGAAATCGATGTGAGTTCTGGATTCCCATACTCGACAGTATCCAATGCTCTCTTTGCAACCCCGGAAAATTTGCAATTAACTATCCTAGGAGTTGAAAGAACCAACAATACATGGTTAACAGTCTTTGTCAAGCAAACGCTAGAGGAATAAAGAGTTCATCGAATCGATTTTGAAATACACAACGGTCTTGTCCGCTTGGTCCTCGTCCAAACTCAAGAATGACCATTTACTGGTATCGGATTAAGTCTTTCTTGAGTAGTAGTTCCACGACGTTAAACCGAAAGTAAAAGCAACTGTGACGATAGTTACCACTCGTGCCAACTCTGTCTCACTCACTGGATCCGTTAGACCACGAAGAACATAGCTCTCGTCCGTGCACTCGGAACATTCGGACACCTGGTGAACTTATATAAAAGAGTAAATTTTGCTAGGTTGAATAGGTGTGCCTCCATGCTATTCATCTACCATGGAGAATCTGAAAGTTGTTACACAACCACATTCTCTAGTTTTCGAGGACAGATGAAATCGGTGCTTGCCCAAAAAAACCGGTTTGTCAAAATCTTTGGGACAATTTTTATAGAAGAATATTCGTTTGTGTGTACGAGGGAACTTGCCCTATACCTACCAGTCCCGCTGTTTTTTTTTCGTGGTTGAATACTAATGGTTGTGCCAGCCAGGTAAATATCCACACACAAGACTTTTGAGATCTTCGCATTTCTCTAGCGCACTACATTCCTCAGCAAACGCCATTCTCATTATTGATAAGACAACAATGTACGAATATCTACCAACCCTAATTTTGCAGCGTATCTACTCACGCCATCATCTTACAAGGAGCGTTAACTGGGACACTCATCTTGAATTGGTGCGGTTATAAAATCTTGGATCTCAAAATCTTGATAACTCAAAACAACGTAGGTGTTGGCTACGCGGTCATGAGCAGGATCGAGCGATCTGTCTTGGTGAGGGAGTCGTTGTCGACTCATCGGACCAAGTTGGGTTCGAACGCAAACTGACTGGCATCTACCTTTGGAAACCGGACAAACTGTGTGTTCTCACAACGGCGGCATCTTTATCTGTTGTTCTTAGGTGCCTCTGCTTGCACCCAACTTAATCTTTCAGAGTTTGAAAGAACAACAAACGAGCCCAGAAAGTTTTTGACTACTTGTGAGGAACAGAGTGGATGCAAAAACCAAAGCGATGTGAACACGACCTGTTTCTAAGGCCAAGACAACTTAAGTACGAACCTGATCACTTCTCAAAAAGTCTAGGCTGGTAAGGAGGATATATATATAAACCGTGTGTCATAGGCACACTAGTTCTAGCTGCTACAGTTTCGGTCATCGTAAAATAGGGAACTGGAACATACAACCAAGGCGAAGGCATGTTCAGTTTGTTCGGAAATTGGGTAGCTACGTATTGAAGGCGACAGTTTTGATGCACGAGTACCACTGACTGCCATTCTCATTAATCACTGGTGATTCGAATCCCGGGGTCCCAATCCAGGGAGGTGGCGGTTGCTAACCGTCCGATAATTCTTTAAAACAAAATGCTTACTTCAAGCATGTTCGCTGGTAGATTTGACGCTATTAGAGGACGAGGAACTCACCTGCAAAACACGAACGCGAAAGTACGACGAGTAATCAGACCTTGTTCAAACAACTGGTCCACGAACATTGTTTTGAACTGCGAATAAGCCTGTCGACGACCTAGGCCCAAAATCCCGTCATTCCAGCTATGTTGCGTCGGTTGACCTTTAAACAAAAGGACCGGGCCAAATGTTCCACTGAGTGAGCGACCACCAATCTGTTTGTTGATATAACCATATTTATCCATCAATACCTGTAAAATATCTGTTGAGACGAAACCGTAGACCTCAAAATTGGCGTATTTAGCTTTGAATTCTGTTGTACTGTCCACAAAAGTTGACGATCCGTATGGATCAAATGTGTTTTTAAACGGCCGCAAATCATGCCGGGCATTTTTACTGTGAACCCACAGGATCGGTGAACCCGTGTCGAAGAGTAAGCGGAATTCCTTTGGGGGTGTCCCTATCCCAACGATGCCATAGTAGAAATCCTCCGAATTATTTAGAATGCCTTGATAATGTCAACTTACCGCGTTATCCGCAGACAAGGGGACCTCAACTGTGTTGTGTTTCTGAGCTGAGTCACCGCCTCGTTCTACTCGCTTTAAACCACTTGGTATGATAATTGTTTGATAGTTGTTTTTACAGAACGACAGTACTCACCCCTTTGTAAAGCAAATACACGGAGTCAACAATAAAAGTAATGGTAACATGAATGCGATCAGCCGATTTATGCGTTTTGAGCTAAGTGGCAAAACTCCAAATTTTTTCTATAGATTCAGTCAAACTACTCTGTTGATGACTGAACCTGAGAGCAGATTGGACAATGTGTTTCGATAAACTAGCAACTTTGACTGCTTGTTAGTCATGAATATGAAGATCGGTGAGTCGGGAACGGCGCTACCTCATTGGATATGCATTGTTCGGCAAGTGTAACCAGTTTCACAGAAACTATGATGCCTTCGAAGTTAGAAATTTCCAAAAACTAAGCTTTCGTTGACTGTGTTGTTTGGCCGCTCCTTAGTTTATCCAAATGGCTGAACCGAACAAGTTTCAGCGTAACCAAAAACACCTAATTTACTGATCAACTTCGTTTTTTGTTAGAGCAAGAAGACTGGATGTAAGACGTTTCATAAGCGAGAACCGAAATGGGGGATGAACAGTGTTCTTTAAACATTCGTCGATTAAATCAAATCAAGCAAGGATTTAATCGCTGGACGATGAGTGTGCAGAATACAGAACCATACCATGAAACGGTGATACTACTGATCGGGGGGCACGCGAGTAGTATGTGTTGTTCGTAGAATTTCGCTTTGCGTCGATTGAAAAATGGAATTCTGTTGCGAAATTCGCGGGGCCACTTTGTAACATTTGCTTTTATTTGACAGACGAATGATTGGAGGCAATGAATCTCCAGGAAGACTCGTTCGGGAGAAGATCTGTGTCCAGTTTTTGTAACTAAGTTGCAGATTAGAGTTTTGCTGCCCTGTTCAATGGTCTGTAACCGCCCAGTTGGCATTTCCGAATAAATAACTCCTCAGCGAAGGCCTTCTTTCTTTCATCAATATCAATTGACTCTGAAGTGAAAAAATTCGTCTCAGGACGTTCAGGGACTACAGCATAGGGTTAAAACATCTAATGAGGGAGAATCTCTGTCATAACGTTTTGCGGTACAACCGGACCCTTCACCCTGAGTTGGCAAACTGCGGCTCACTGAAGAATGTCCCGTTATGGGAGGAGTGAGAAGTAGGAAATACACTCATTTGAAAACAAATTTGGTTTCGAAGAGAACCCAGCTGAATCTCTCGTTTGTGATGTGTCCAGGCAACTGAATGTGCTGCGCCAGACCACCCCGTGTTTCAGTCGCTACGATATTCGAGATATCGCGATACATGTATATTCGTAATGCACTACTCATAAGGTCACTGAAAATTCCTCGACAGTCCACAACCGGTTTCGGCCTTCTTGGGGCCAATCAAGTAGGCGCAGTCCGCGAGATTCCGTCAAACTTATCTTCTAATTGAAACCAAATTAAAAGAAATTAGCTAAACACGCTCATTTGCAAACAAATTGGGTTTTACGAGAGACTCACCTGGACCAAGTTGAATCTTTCGTTTGTGATGTCTCCAGGCCACCGAATATGCTGGACCAGGCCGCCACATTTTTCAGTTCGTACGGTATTCGAGATACCGCGATACATGTATAGTCGTAATGCCTATAAACATCAAAGACGACAGATTCAGCTTGGTTCGACTTGAGTCTCTCGCAAAACTAAAGTTGTTTGCAAATGAGTGCATTCCGCTAATTTCGTGCAATTTGTTTTCAAGTTGAACATAAGTTCGACGGAGACTGCGCCTACTTGATGAGCCCCAAGAGAGCCGAAAGCGGTCGTAGGCTGTCGAAGAACTTTCAACTACCTTCTGAGTATTGCATTAGGAAAGTGAGAATTTTCTACTAGATTACTTCATGGTAATGAAACTGAAAGGGAGAGACCATTCATAGTGGAGAATGGGAAGGTTAAAGGCACGTGTAAGAATTCTTGAGAAAATGCTCTCACTATAGTTAGGAACTTTGAAGGAAGGACAATCAGAACGAAACCACTTCATGAGGTAGTGCATGCCTATTTGTAAGTTTAAGGTGTTCCCAGGAGTAAAACGGATAGGGCCGGTCTGAAAGTGTCAGTGTATGCAGACGAGTGATGCTAGAATGGGATCACATGAGAGAAATGATTGGGGATAATGAAGAGTGTTTTGGTGGTTAGAGACTTTCTAGACTGCGTCCAGCTAATGAAACAGCTTCGGATCAACCAAAGCAAATTCTGTTTTTGGTTTCAACTTGTGCAATCACCACCTGCAACAGAATGAAGTCGATCATTCATTCATTCTTTAAGTTATACCAGTCTATTCCGAAAAGCCAAGATGCACTAGACACTTGTTTTGTTCTGTTAGGCAGGAATCCACGCGGATCCCACTGTACCGCACGTCTTTGGGCGCTGCTACGGCCCAGAAGCCTGACCCCCTCGAGGTTGGCCCAGAATTCGGGACGTTTGCCGGTCCGGCATCAAGACGAGATCTGATTGGTCAACAATCTGGACCCAACAGCCAATCATGGCCCAGTATTGGCCAAATGCCGGTTTCCAATGGCGCATCCAGAACGCGTTAGAAATTCCAGAAAGTTATAGCCGCTTACGCGCACTGTACAACTGTTCCTGATTTCGTTTCGGGCGTTAATAGACCTTGTGCAACTTTGGTGGTTGTTTTGACGTGAACGCTAGCTTGGGAGGCTCAGACCGAGAACTAAGCTGAGGAAAATACCGTTACTACACGTTCTGTTTGGAAATCATCACCATCTTACAAAACTCAGAGGAGTTTCGAACCCATCAAATTTCGGCTGATAATTTTAATACTCAGCGTTTTGACCATAAGCGACTGAATAACAGTCAAATTATGTTTGTAATGCACTACTCATAAGGTTACTGAAAATCCGCTGACAGCAACCTTATGAGTAGTGCATTACAAATATATACATGTATAGTGATATCTTGAATATAGTAGCGACTGAAACATGAGACAGATTGGTGCAGTTGCCTAGAAACATCACAAACGAGATATTCAGCTGGGTTCCGGGTGAGTCTCTCGAAAAACCAAATTAGTTTGCAGATGAGTGTATATTCGCTAATAGCAGTCAGATTAGTTCCCACTGAGACAGGGTGTGGCATCAGCCCTCCGTCAATCACGGGATCGACATCACGTTATCACGTGGTGACTAGCTCTTTCAATGACGACTTCTAAAATGATGGGTTCGCAGAACTCATGTGTTACCAATCCTTCTGTGTTGATGAGAACTTTTTGACTGCTGATCAGCGGCTCTTGGCCGAACGCTTAAATGCTCAAACTAGTGGACTAGGAGTCGCGAGTTTGAGAAACCCTGGAGATTCTTGAGTTGTCCGCACTACTGATGTTCCCCAACAAGGTTCAAACAGCTGCACAGTGCTTCTTAGCTTTTCGGGTTTCACCCGCAGAATGAAATCTCCACTGGACGTTCATTCTACCAACAGAAGCCAAGTTAAATGCCGTCACCAGAAGCGTCGCTATAATCACAAAACTACAGTCGTTCGGCTCTGCCATTTGTGCCAGATCAGGATGAGACGTAGTGGACTAGGGGAGGAACAGAATTCTGCAGACAAACTGAGGCGTGTCATTAGAAGGTGGGCACTCCATCTATCGTGCTTTTGTGAATATTTTACCTGCGTAGAGGTTCATCCCGTTGGTCGAGACCTTGTGGGTTGCATTTTGTGTTATCCCGCAGCCATCGCGTAGCCGTGAAAGATTTCCCAAGCGATCGCATATGGGTTGGATAGGATGTCCATTGCTTTAGTGAGGAGGCTGAAACTCTCTTCGCGTACGGAGGGCAGATAGCCGCCTCAGAATTAAGTCATCCTAGTTGCCTGATTGTTAATATACTTATTCTTACGTAGGCAGCGGACAGGACAGATGGTTTGGAGGCGCCGATAACTTCGCGATTAGGCTTCTTTAATGTTACCGGGTTACGATAGATGCTTGAAAATTATAGCATATACCATAGTAGCACACATTCTGTATCATAATCCGGCCTGCGCTGCCAACAAGATTTTATTCAGGCAGCTGCTCCCCATTTTGATTTGTTTCTTCGAATTACCAACTTTTATGTGAATGAATATCAATCACGTGAAATTATATCACGCGGGAGGGGGTACATGGAAAGTGAAGATATACACTTAATTCGAGCAGTGGACACTATGCATAAGGTTGCCAAAACGCTTCAGTAGCTCACTACTAGTTTAGTTGTTCTTTAGGCTCATAATGTAGGCACAGTCCTTTAGTTTCTGTCAGACCCAAGTTCCGCCCGAACGAAATGCACGAGCATAGCGATATACATTCATCTGCATACCCATTTGGTCTTCACTAAATCACTCGTCTTCAGCTATATATGCTGTAAAGAGGCCGTCCTATGTTTCGATGAACGGAAACTTAGGGGTTTGCCTACCTGATGAGACCCGAGAAACATGAAACTGAAATAAAGTTAAATAAAATGTGAGGTTGTCAAGCCGAATTCTGGGATAAAAGTACGCTGTAGGCGGGTATTTTCCTGCCTACTTACCTCTTCCAGGTGTCACAACACTTACAGTAAGCTGCACAAAAGATGGTAAACGATGTCCACAAAAGCGGTGTTTCATTCCTCTTAAGACCGAGTGGTCACACCTGTTGATCCATTTGTTGTTGTGCTATCAACTCTTGAAAAAAGCGGAGAAAATTCCACCTAATTTACAATCTTTTGGAACAGCCATTTTATTTGCGATGATAAAGAAACAGAGACAAAATAACACAGTAATTTGCACCAAATCTAAAGAATATCATAATCAACATATCAGTGACAGAATATGACAATACAATATTTCCTAGTAAATATATGAATGAAGAGTCATTGTAGTCCTTGATCAAACAAAAATCGCAATCAAATGTCCGACGCACGGCAGATGTTCTTAGTTCAACACCTTCGGTCGACGATGCGATGATTAGATTCACCGCTAGCTTAACTACTCAAATGTCACGCGTAGTATATAATCGGTTCACATTTTTAGAATGCCTTAACAGGAAACGTACCTCAAGATATAGGGAATTAACGTTAGGATTATCTACTTATTGTAGTATCTTTTTCATTTGGGTGCCAGAACTTTGTAGCAGGCATACCTCAACGCAAACACAAGTGAGGTTTCGCTTGCACGATAAATGCTTGACCTTAAAAATTCAAGCAATGCACCAAAAAAACAATCCAGTCTTCCGCGGAAACACATAAATTATTAAAACTAAACTTTGAACTCGAATTCTATAACGAAAATTGATCTGGGAGTGGATACGGTAATAAAATGATGGGCCGACATCCGTCTTCGCTTTGACCTGTTTGATCAACAGAAGCCGACAGATGCCAGGATACAATGACCAACGCAACAGTGGGGTTGCGTTGAACCGCGTTCGCGTCAACATGAACTTTCTGTAATCGGTGCAGGCCCAATAGAATAAGACACGTGAGGTTACTGGACGGGTAAGTTCCAGGCAGAGTAATCGTGTCCACCTGGTTGCCTGTAACTGCCAATACAAATGGAGAAATCTGAACACATGAGATCATGTGAGCGGTGGTCTGGTGGCTCAGACCAGTCATTTGACGCACCATGGGGACCCCGCATATGGCTGGCTAGTGCTGGTCAATATCCTCTTCTTCCACACACCGATGGTCACGAAGTCATTGTGGGGTCGTTGTGGGACTAGCACTCTGGAAAACCCAGAACACTAGGGCGGGTCTTTGCTAAAACTGATGGGAACAACCTGACATTCGAGCCCAATAGTCTCTTGTTCCACCAGACTTGGGAGCAGTAGTATTGATAAGCCGGGCCAAAAAATGTCTTGCCTACACAGTTTTCTGTGGTTAGTTATAATGCCACTTGATTCCGTTCTCCAGCGGTTGAACACTCAATGTTATTTCCAGCACATTTGTAGCCCTAGTCTTTTTGTTGGTTTCATTTTAGATGGCGATGATCAGAGAAAAATCAGTTAGTGCACCTCAGCAGGCCGCCTTATCTGATAGCCCAGGAAGCTAAGGTGAATCAGGCAAACTTGTTTTACCTACCAAGGTTTTACCGACATATTAATGTTCAGAGAGCAGTATAGATATTATAGCAGTCATTGTAGATCCGGCATGTCGGGTCTGCGGGTCCAACGTCTTCGAGTCGTGCACGCTTTAGTTCTGAAGGTCATTAGACTGAAAAACTTCTGTTTTGTTTTTCTGCTTCTACCTCCAGCTTCACAACCCGTACGTTGGAAGCTTCCGAATTTTCGGCCAGCATCCAGACACCAAAGT